ATTCATTATTCTGTTTGGATGAATATTTCCTGAAGATGATTTATTAGACCGAAACGTCCGACGTTGACATATTAACATTAAAACAGCATAATTGTATATAAGATTTTGTTTGTTTTTCTGTATATATTTTTCTTCATATATATATATATATATATATATATATATATATATATATATATATGTGTGTGTGTGTGTGTGTAAAGTGTACACGGCGCGATGGATAAATTGTCGTCTAAATTATCTAAAAATGAAAATATCACTAACAACACATTTTAACAGATGTTTACAAAAAATAGACACAAATATCATGAAATACTAAAGGGTAAATTTATTCAATAAAGTCGCCATTTGCTTCAACCTCGGCTTCCAGACGACTTTAACTTCACTGGACCGTCTCCTTGTTTAAGTTGTTTAAGTACAGAGTTCTGTTGCCAGACATAGGGTTCTTCCAGAAGCCACCCTCTTGACCCAGGGCAGTATCACCTCCTCATGGTACCTGATATAGGCCTTCGTGTTGAGTCTAAGACACCGTGGGAAGATGAATTGTGCCATAAAGTCTAATGAGGAATAATGGGCTAGTGATCATTCCAGACATTTTCATAATCACCATTAGACTCATCCAACTCTTTCCAAATCCTCTGCACTGTCCTCAGATTGACACCTAAACACTCTGAAATGTTTGTATTAGAGCTTCCAGCCCGAATGCCAAGCAATAGAGCTTGCATTTTCCATATTTCTGGCGGAGTGAATCCGACATGTGCTCTTTTTCTAAAAGATGGTGTCCAACTGACCCCAATATAGTGTGCAGTCGACAAAATCAAGAAACAGACAAAGCGCATGCGCGAAATAAAAAATATAAAACTGTGACAATTTACCCATCGCAACCTATATATATATATATATATGTGTGTGTGTGTGTGTGTGTGTGCGTGTGTGTGTGTGAATTAGCAGAATCATATATTATTTTGGTTTTGTGAATGTTTAAAATTTTACAATTTTTTAGCAAGACGGAAAGATCAATTATCGATCAAGGCAAATATCAATAGTGTGTACTCGTTCTACGCATGTGTGTATCCAGATTACCCCTGTACATATATCTACAAGCATACACACAGACACATGCCCATTCATTTCACACACACACAAACTCACACACACACACACAAATATATATATATATATATATATGTGTGTGTGTGTGTGTGTGTGTGTGTGTGTGTGTGTGTAGTGGTATATAAGCATGTTTCTAAGTAATAGTTCATGCTTTTTGAACTTGTTGCAAATGTTTCAATCAATGTAAGGTTGAAACACCTCCTTCCACCCACCTGCATGAAAAAGAAAAAAATACGAAATCATAAAATGATCAAATTATCTGGAAAGCCTGCAAAAAATCAATCGAACAAATCGATAGAGAGACAGTAAATTTTGACCTAGTGTCGGAATCACTACTGAGCAGAAAGAAACAAAAAATAAACTCGATTCGAGCGTTTTTAAGATAAAAGAAAGTGAATAATTTGACTTGCAATTACCATCGCTAATCGAAATAAATTTCTAGTTTTAGAGACTAGACAAGAATAATACATATAATTATAATTATTTCTACTAATAATAATGACTTTGATTACTTTTCGGGTAATCTATGCCAACCCGTTCGCTTAACATTCCGCCACGTGCGGAAGAGCATCTCTGGGGAACCTGGGTGCGTAAAGCTTGTCGACTCCTCAGAATTTTAGCGCTCCTTTGCTGACTTCGAGCCATTTTGGTCTTATAGCCAATTGGCTTGTCAGAGGGTATCCATCAGACGAGGCTCTGTCGAAGTACAGTCTCGTCTCGGGAAAATGACTCTGTTTTTACGTGGTCTCTAGGGAATTTTTTCCCGGGCCTATGGGCTCGGATACCGACTTTAAAACTCGGCCTTGTGCGACATCTTTCTGCATGGGACAGCGGGTAAATAATTATATCCAAAACTTAGACAATGGAAATCCATCACTGACAAAAGTCCACGCCCGCGGGTGTTTTTGTCTGTAATTTACTGTCTTGGTCCGGCTACTGCATTCTGCAAAAATCCTCACATACTTCAATATTGGCATCTATAAAACAACATCATTCAGCAACCCTTTACGTTGTGTAGCTCTTCAGGTATTTTAATGAGCGAATATTTAGTTAAAAATTACAAGCTTTCAAGACCGTGACTCATGGATTTCAATGAAGTAAAGGATATAATTACACCCTTGTGCAAATGATTTGAAACAAAACAAATAATTCTGTTATTATTTACTTTTTTTCAGATTTTTCCAATGAAACATGACCCAGTGCATATATTATTACTTCGTATGTCCATTCCACGAAGTCTTTCATTGCAGATTGACCACAGATTTTCGATTGGATTTAAATCAGGAGAGTTTCCGAGACAGTCGATAGTACTTTGATTTGATCACTGGTAAGGCTTGCCAGTGTGCTCGTGAAGCATTACAATTTTCGTACGCTTCCTTGGAGTAATGTCCATCGCAGACAATAGACGCAGGTCAACTAATCGACAGTCGAGACAATAGCGTCTAAGCGTGATAAAAATCCGATGCAATCACGAAAAGCCAAACAAATTTCATGGTATCATGAAATTTGTTTGCCCTTGATAAATATTGAAAATAGATTCATATTACTGCACACCACTGATCTGAGGAAAGGACAGAAATCGATTACACCCTGTCGGTCCAGTGGTGTGGTGAAAGATAGGAAACTCGAGCGGTTGTTTCGATTAATTTTTACAATGGTGTATATGACTAAATTTGGTCGATGTCTGTTTCTGGGACTTCCTAGCCTAAACAGTAAATAGTACCGGCAAGTTAAAATCCTATTTAAAATCTCAGTTTAATGGGTATGTCTAGGTTAACCAATCTTGTTTAAACTAGACATACCCATAAAACTTTGAAACCTGCTTTTTTTAAGTCTTAAATAACCTACGGTTTTCAAAAGTAAATCATTTTCATCATAAGTTCCGAAACATAGAAATTTTTATGTAGCGATGTAAAATATGTTTTAAATATATATATATATATATATATATATATATATATATATATATATATATATATATTTGTAGGCAGCATATATTCTTTCAAGCTTTGTTTGGTTGAATAATCTGGACATATTATGTATATTTCATTTTAATCCTCTCAAATTCACGGATCAATTTCTTAATGTCAGTATTAAAATGATTAAGATAGAGCCGTACTTTTGGTAATTTCTTTTATATTCCCAAGTACCTTTAACCTCATCCGAGATCATCTTCAGTGATAAACTGCCAAGACAAAAAAAATTAATGCCAATAGTTCGATTGATAGTCGTGATTTTTTTTTTATAGTTGTAATTTTTTTTGTAAATGAGCATGAAACGCGCTGTTGTAATTGTGAACACGTATGAACGCGCTCCGTTATGGCCAATTCAAAAAATATAAATTGTTAAGAATATAATGTATCTAAGGGAGGTAACTTAATTTATATGTTTTATTTTTCATGTTTTAAAATACTCAACTTGCAATTAAAAAAATAAATTGAGTATTTTAAAACATTACTTATATATATTTTGTTTAAACAATGACAATATTAAAAATTTCAGACACACTGAGTTGTATATTGATAAGTTTTGTTTTATTATTTCAATTAGGTCCCTCGACTAGTTTCAGCCAGCATGGCCATCATCAGAAGAAAAAATCCCTGCTTGTTAGTAGCAGTGAACTACAGGAGTGAATGACTGTTCCAGAAGAAAATGAACTCTATCTGTAGTCTTAATTTGTTTTTTATCGTTAATTTTGGTCAGTCCTTGTGTTGTTCAAACGGCCCCTTTCAAGTTGTTTTTAAGACAGAGGATGAGAGAGTTTAAGAATTCCCTCCTTGGTAATTTTGACAGTTTTATTGGTTGCTCAGAATGGGATGTGTATGTTAAGTGTATGTTATCTTTTAGTTCTTTGCGAGTGTGCGTAATGTGTGTATGTGTATATATTAGTATGAGGGCGTGTATAACTGTGAGACCTCAACACCTCTACAAGCATGTCTGTCTTGTGTTGGTGAGAAATGTGGGTAGGTCTTGATTTATGGAGTTATATATTAATTATATCCATGTTGCTAAATTTGTGGATAAGCCCCTCTGGAGGAAGTATTTTGAGGCGCAAAATCCGTTTGTCTTCATGTCCCTCTAGTTTTTTTTTCTAATATTATCTTTTCTGTCTATTTCTCTTTTTTCAATTATAGTGAATATACATAAGATTGATTTTATATTTAGAATTGAATTACACTTTACCAGAAACGATTTATAAACAAATATAATTTGAATTTATTTTAATACTTTTTATAACAAAATGTTCATCGTTTTAATAAGCTGTCACATCTTTCTCTAATGGTCTCTTTGCATTAAAAAAAATGCCACTGTCAGAATCGTTCTCGTTATGTTTTTTATAGGAAAAAACATATTCAATTTCCCAAACGCCGACATTCGAAAGAAGACTGAAGACCCACCCAGTCCTAAAAATTTAAAAAATGCAATCAATATGAAGAATATATTTTCACTAAAATCGGCATACGTTGACCAACGTTACCGATACTTGACGGCCACAAAGCAGAGACATTCAAACGATACCAGAAAATGGTGTCAGGTATTTTCACGAAAAAGGAAATGACTGAACCAGCCGACATCATTCTATCCCATTTATTTTCCAGGTATTCAATAAAATTATATCACCGAAGGGAAATATGAGAATATTAGATTAACAGTAGCATTCAAACGAACGATTTTGCTGACTGTTCGGATGGAGAAAGAATCGTCATTTATAGATTGCTAACTTTCGTTCCTGATTTGAGTCACGACAATACAGTGTGAAATCTATTCGCAGCCAATGAAGGGTCTTTGTTCAAGAGATAGCTTGGGTCACGTGGCGAAATATATTTCATGTCGCTAAGGTTGCAGTAAGATAGATGACGACATTGAATAGATTTATCGCAACTAAGATATTAAGAGTCTTCTTCTTCTTCTTCTTCTTCTTCTTCTTCTTCTTCTTCTTCTTCCTTCCTTCCTTCCTCCTCTTTTTTTCCTCCTCCTTCCATTCCCATCCTATATCGCCTTATGCTTTTTTCTTTTTTTTCCTCCATCTCTTCCTCTTTTTCTTTCCCTCCTCATCCCCTCCTCCTAATTTCGTCTTCTTCTTCTTCCTCATTCTCATCCTCTTTTTTTCTTCTTCTTCCCCGTCAGCACCGGTCTTCTTCCCCTCCTTCTCTTTTATTTTTCTTCTTCTTCTCCTGCTTCCCTTCCTCTTTTCTTTCCCTTCTTCATCTCCTCCCCTCTTCTTTTCCACCTCTTTATCCCCTTTTTTCTTCATCTTCTTCCCCCTCCTTCTTCACCACCTCCTTTTTTCTTTTTCTCTCCCCTCCTCTTCCCCTCTTCTGTCGCATTTTCTTTTTTTCTTCTTCTTCCCGCACCTCCTTCCTTTCTTCTTCCCCTCCTCCTCTTTTCTTCTTTTTCTTCTCCTCGTCCTCCTGCCCTTTACCTTCTTCTTCCTCCCCCTTTCTCCTCCACCAATTCTTCTTCCCTCCAATTTTCTTCTTCTTCCATCCTTCTCCTCTTAATTTCTTATTCTTCCCCTCCTACTCTTTTCCTTTTCTTCTTCTCCTCCCCCTTCCCTTCCTATGCTCCTTCCCATTCTTCTTCATCCCCTTTCTCCTCCTCTTCTTTCCTCTCCTCCTATTTTCTTTTTCTTCTTCCACCCCCTCATCCTCTTTTTTCTTCATCTTCTTCCCCTTCATCTCCTTCTTATTCCCCTCTTGTTTTCTACTTTATCTCCTCCTATTTCCATCTCCCTAATCTTTTCCCTCCTCCCCTACCTTCTTCTTCTTCTTCTTCTTCTTCTTATTATTATTATTATTATTCCTCTTCTTCTTCTTCTTCTTCTTCTTATTATTATTATTCTTCTCTCCTCATCCTTCTTCTTCTTCTTCTTCTTCTTATTATTATTATTATTATTATTATTATTATTCCTCTTCTTCTTCTTCTTCTTCTTCTTCTTATTATTATTATTTTATTATTCTTATTTATTATTATTATTATAATTATTATTATTTTATTATTATTATTATTATTATTATTATCAATATTATTATTATTATTCCGCTTTTTCTTCTTCTTTTTCTTCTTCTTCACAAGGCCCCTTTTTCAGTATCATCGTCGATATGCAGTCTCAAATCCTCCTTTCAAAGAGTTCCAAATGAACCTGAGATTTTAAACTTCATATCTTATATAGATATTTTTTTTTAAATTCAGTTTCACCCAATGTTAATCTTGTCAAATCCGACATTGAATAGACAAATTCAGAACTATGAATTTTATTCTTCTAAAATCTCCAGTATCTTTCTCATTTTATTTAAGCACACTGTGGACTATACAGTCTTAAACCATTTCAGAATCTTCGAACAGTTCCAAATGCGCCCACGATTCTAAACTTCAATACATACACCCGTGTGTAAATTAATGGAAACAACTGCTTTATTTTCCTTTCATTCAACATTCGGTCAATTTTAAACCCACTGGAGAGACAGGGTGTAATCCATTTCTATTTTTTCCTCTGATTAGGCGATTTGCAGTGGTGTGCAGTAATATGAATCTATTTTCGGGGTGTATCATGAAATTTGTTTGGCCTTGAAAAATATTACGTCATTCATGATTGCATCAGATTTTTATCATGTCCAGACACTATTGTCCCGACTGTCGATTAGTTGTCATACGGTCATTGTCTACGATGCGCGTTACTCCAAGGAAGAATACGAAAATTATAACACTGCACAAGCGCACTGGTAGGCATTACTATTGAATAAATCAAAGTAATATAAACTGACCCGGAAACTATCCTGATTTAAATCCAATCGAGAATCTGTGGTCAGTCTGCAAGGAACGACATCGTAGAATGAACATACGAAGTACAAACATGTGCACTGTGTCATGTTTCATTGGAAAAATACGAAGAAAGTAAATAATATCTGAATTATTTGTTTTGTTTCAATTAATTTGCAGAAAGGTGTATATCTTTTTTCATATTAAATTTTACACAATACATTGCTAGCGACCAACTGAAGGCAGATGATTGCTGATAAAATGGTTATGTTGATTAATGTATAATATAAATATAAGAGCAATTTGTAGGACGTGAAGATTGTGAGGCATAAAGATGTTAGGCAACGATTAACCATTGATGAGTTAAGGAGATTGTAATGTCAAATGTTTTTTTTTATTTAATTTTGCCGCCTTTTTAGATACATTCATTATCAGAAATGTTCTTTTTTATTGTTTTTTTTTCTGATTCACGATACTTATATCCGGTCTTTCAATTTCGAAATAACTGAGAATCTTTATATCAAAAGCAAAAAGTATTTTGTGATATTCCATGACGAATGATTCGTTTTCTACGGCTTATCAAACCTGGCGAAAAAATACGTTTTAGCCTATGAATATTTTTAGACAATAATTCTTACTAATTAAACCGAGCTGAAGGAGAAGATGTGGGTTCATGCCTTTCCCATTTTCTTAAGTAAACATAACAAACTCAACAATTCCGAGCCATTATCTCTTACACACCCTCGCATCCAAGCTTAAAGCACCTGGTATTCCTAAAAGGCCACCCGTCTATGTACTGACCAGGCTCGATGTTGCTTAAGTTCAACGTGATATGACCATCGGACTTCTCCATGTGGTGCTGATAACAATTATTTCCTTTGATGAAAAACAGTTGCACAGTTCCAAGCATATGACCATCGAACTATATTATGTTTCTTTTATTCCAATGTTTCACCTCTTTCTCTGAATCTGCTGTTTTTTAAGGTCATACCAATATGACTTATGATGACTCGACGTACATGTTCTCTAATGAAGGATGTTGTTTCTCTCTTCAGCCATGTCAATAAATTCTCGCTCGTAATATTTTCTATCTGCTCCATAAATTTATTCCTGTTTAATTATTGTTTTGTTAAATCCTCCATCACCACTCACCACTTTATTCCCTTTTCGCAATATACACCCCGTCTGAAGTTATTAAGCAAATCATAAACTTCAATAATTCAAATTTGGTTAGAAAAAAAAATCAAATTTTAAACAATCAATTTAGATATCAAAGCAAACACTGAGTTAAAATTTTAGGTAGTATCAATATGTTTTATTGAAGTTATTTGATGTATTCTAAAAAGCTTCCGTCAACACCTATAATAAAACAAATAACAATCACAAGTTAAGTACACTATTTACATTATTCGGACTATTGTCCTCATATTTGTCGCCATGTTTATCACAACGTTTCGGTCGTTGTACGCTCCGGCTTTCTTCAGGTGAGGAGATTATGTTTATAGTACCCAGAAATTCATAACAGATGTCCTCAAGAACACATTGGATAAAGGCGTTGGGTAGATCCAGTGACAGGACCCAAAGACTGTGAGTTCAATACCCGGATAACTTTGAGAGGGGAATTAACAAGACATAACTGACATCCATTAAATGGATGTCAGTTATGTCACGTGGAACCTAGAACAGTCTACCAAAGAGAGCAAAATAAAGGGTTCAGTTCGTCATTCCAAACACCCGAAGAGGGCCGGATGGTACAACGGTCGTAAGATGGCGGCATAGATAAGGACAATAGTCCGAATAAAGTAAATAGTGTACATAATACCTCATCTCAGAAATATAGACAGATACTGAAGGGCCGAAACGTTGTGATAAATATGGCAACAAATATGAGGACAATAGTCCAAATAAAGTAAATAATGTACATAATACCTCATCTCAGAAATATAGACAGATACTGAACGGCCGAAACGTTGTAATTAATATGGCGACAAAGATGAGGACAATAGTCCGAATAATGTAAATAATGTACACAATATCTCGTCTCAGAAATAGAGACAGATACTGAAGGGCGGAAAAGTTGTGATAAATATGGCGACAAAGATGAGGATAATTGTCCGAATAATGTAAATAGTGTACATAATACCTCATCTCAGAAATATAGACAGATAATCTTTTTAGTCCTTTGAAAATACTGACCACCCATCTTGCTTTTAGGTAGTCTACTTTTCCGGAACAAAAGTGGACAGTTAGAGGGTGTGGGTCCCAATTCAGTATCCATTTAAGCAGAGAGGGAATGGCAAAACGTCAGTAGTGAGTGAGTAGGTGATCAGCAGACAAGAAGGGACTAGCGGGCAGTTAGAAATCAGAAGTCGCCTGAACGATTAGTAAAGATAAGGATCCTCTTTCCGTCGCCGCAAGTTTGTGAGATAGCAGTCCACTTCTTGAAGCTGAAGGAAGAATAGAGAGGTAAATGAAAAACAAAAGTATTTTTGCTATTCACCAAAAAGTTTCTTGAAAAGCATTTGTCGTTATTCATTGATGAATTCGATCACGGCCAAAGAGACAAACCTCTGAACAAAGTGTGACACAGCCGACCTTGGATGTCACCACAGGTTGTACAGTGAACCACAAGCAGACTACGTCGTCACAGTAAGATGTTTGTTTCGTTTTGGTTTGGTTTCCTTTAGGCAGATCAATCTCAATCGGTTATTCAATACCGACAAGATTTTTTATTGCTGGTGATATTTTTTATCTATCTATCTATCTATCTTAATATACATTGGTTTGGTTTGGTTTGTTTTACGGCATATCAACCTCAATCGGTTATTCAATACCGACAATATTTTTTATTGCTGGTGATATTTTTTATCTATCTATCTATCTATCTATCTGTTAGTTTGGTTTGGTTTGTTTTATGGCATATCAACCACAATGAGTTATTTAATGCCAACAAGATTTTTTATTGCTGCTAATATTTTTTATCTATCTATCTATCTATCTATCTATCTATCTATCTATATAGATATGTGTTTGTTTTGGTTTGGTTTGTTTTACGGCCTATCAACCTCAATGGGTTATTTAATGCCAACAAGATTTTTATTGCTGCTAATATTTTTTATCTATCTATCTATCTATCTATCTATCTATCTATATATATATATATATATATATATGTTTGTTTTGGTTTGGTTTGTTTTACGACATATCAACCTCAATGGGTTATTTAATGCCAACAAGATTTTTATTCCTGGTAATATTTTTTTATCTATCTATCTATCTATCTATCCATCTATCTATCTATCTATCTATCTATCTATCTATCTATCTATCTTAGTATATATTGGTTTGGTTTAGTTTCTTTTACAGTATATCAACCTCAATTGATTATTCTATACCGACAAGATTTTTGTTGCTCGTAATATATTTTCCTCAAAAATGTATTGCTGACACTACTTTGTTTCCTTCAAAAATGTATTTTTAATAATATTTTCCCTTCAAAAATACATTACTGGTTATAATTTTTCTTCAAAAATGTATTGCTGGTAGTATTTTCCCTCAAAACTATATTGCTGGTAATAATGTTTCCCTTAAAAAATTATTTCTGGGATTATAACCTTTTTTTGCACTTAAGTAGTGTTTTCAGCCATTTTATGGGTTAACTATTTTCCCATATTTGGGACCTTAACAAGTGCTTACACCCCAGGTTATGGTGCACCTGGGAACACCAGCAATTAAGAGGTGG